TATTCCTGTTTGTAGTGTTCGTCAGTTTATGTAAGTAATTCTTTTCCTTATCTACGTTTTCTCTTTTTACTTTCTAAGCCGAACGTACTAATGATTCGTGTCTTTTATAATTGCTAACTCTGCCATAATTATCTTCACGGAGGAAAATCTTTTGTTTTCCTCGACAAAATATCTTGTCTTTGGCGAGGGGAAAGTTGACAATAATAGTGGCGAGATTTTGCATAATTTATTTAAATATATTTAAATAAGATATATTGGCAAACATGGATAAACGTACCTACAATAATGTCAAAAGGGTGTGTTTACCATGACTTTATTAAACACCTTCTTTCTTCGTTAATTTTTATTGTTTTACATAGCGAGGATTAGAATTGGAATAAAAGCCAAATATATAACGAAAGTGAATTCGTGCATTTTTTTTTTTTTTTTTTTTTGGTTATTGAGAATTTTCAACAAAAATATCAAACACTATTTATTCATGCAATGCAATATTTATCATTTACTAATTTATAAAGAAATAAATGTGAAAACAATTTTTTATTCATACATTTATAAACATTTACTAAATTATTACAATATTTGAACCAACTATAAGGAAATCCTTATTATTTACCATTTTATAAAGTTTGAATCAATTGGCAATTAACCAATGTTTTGCCACACCATTCCAATACACGATATATTAGATAGTGTAAATAAAGTATCTAATAAATAAATAGTGCTTATTATTTTTGTTGCCAATTCTCAAGAATAAAGAAAATGTATAAATTCACATTCATAAGTTTAGCTATTATTACAATTTTAATAAACGCTTTGTAAAACAATAAATATTGCCGAAGAGAGAAGGTAGTTAATCTTTATCCATATTTGCTGTGTGTGTGTGTGTGTGTGTGTGTGTGTGTGTGTGTGTGTGTGTGTGTGTGTGCATTCACTATGTCAGCCATTGTTATACCGGTCAATATTTTTACAATAAAATTAAAATTAACTAATCTTGGTAATATTTTCGACATATATTTATTTAATTTAGATATCATGTAAGTTTCCATTCATATATATATATATATATATATATATATTGACGATGCTTTAATAAAAGTGAAACATGTTCGATTGATATACGTTTCCTATTTGTTCTTTATTTTATCATCCTGCCGTATTACGATCCATATTTAATCTGCATTTGATCTTTAATTCATATATATATATATATATATATATATATATATATATATATATATATATAAGAGCCAAATGCAAGATTCCACCATGGAATATGATAAGCCCAACCCCAATGTATGATAAGGGGCTCCCAACTCTACTTTTATAAGGTCGTATTCATGTAAAATACAAATTTTATTCTAACTTAATTATGTACAGTAATAGATCATATGTAATGTACTTGAAGAATTCAACTAGAAGAAATGAAAATAAATTTAACGTATGTAAATACAACTGAGCGATATGTCGTAATTGATCTTAAATAATTCAACAATGTTTTGAAGCAATTTTTAACACCAACTGGAAATTTTTCTTTCTTTAAAAGTTTCTACATTTTTGAAAATTTCTAGTGAATTTAATATAGTTTTTTCGAGAATTAAGGAAAAGAATTTTACAGATTTGACGTCAAAATCCTCCCAAAATTTTCATCCTTTAATAGTCAGTCATATATATATATATATATATATATATATATATATATATATATATATATATGCAGGGACAAAGTTTAACCTCCGTGCCTGCAAAAACAACTGTGTCAAAAGAACGGTTATTCCTTTGACACCACTATCACTGCATACACTTTTAACTCGACGATGCTTATTTACAAGATTATAAATATATGTGAAGCAAATACAATGCAATATTTATTTATTATTACCTTTTATAATCAGTCCTGGGTATGACAATAAACTACATTCGGCAGCAAAGCCTGTGATCGGGAGATTGGAAGTTTTGATGAGCATGGAACCAGATCGTAAGTGAATATAAAGAACCCCACGGGAATTGGAACTCGGCTCTCCGATTAACAATTCTGAGCCATTATATATTACACCACCCGCACATCTAAGCTTACAGCACCTGGTATTCCCAAGTTGTCACCCATCTGGAATCGACATAGCTTAACTTAAGGTGATCGTACGTGATGTAGCCGTAATCATATGCGCTTTTGACCAATTCGATGTGACATTGAACAGAACAAGATTCAGATTTTCTGATTGGAAATGTTTCCGCGTTCATTTCGACAGTAATCCCAATGCTCATGAAGATCGCTTAGTCTTCGTTGGAGCGCTTGTTTTTCGTCGGGGGGAGGGGTCAGTTCCCCCTACAATGATTTTTGTGCTTGCCAAACTCCCAAAACTGAACATCTTCATCTGCAAGAAACCTTTTAGTTGCACGTGATGTGTGGCAAAGAGCAACGTCATGTTGAAGAATGTCTCCGTCTTTGTAATCTGGCACAAGATTAGACCTTAGTAAACTCATTTCGTTTTCGTTGTTTAGGTTTCCATCAGCTTTTACCAATTTTCTTCTACCATTGCTTTTGATGCAACCCCACATCCTTATGTATCAACTACCAAATTTTAAATTCTTTGTGGTTTCTCTCTCTCACTGATTTTCTTACTTATTCTCTTGCATTAGAATCTAACGCTATTTTGTATTCATCTATACATATTAATTTTTGCTACTTTCCAGAATCCCATGTGAGATGGTTTTTTAACCAATCTTCTATTCGGTAGTTTTCTGATTAATGATGTTATTTTGCCTGTTCAATTTGTTTACTCATAATACTCTGCATGCTGTATGAACTGAATCCACACTGTTAAGATTACATTCACTCCTCACTTGCCTAGCTGTTAATTTTGAATTGTCAACCGAGATACTCATAATCTTTCTTTCCTCTTTCTTCTCTAACTTCTGTAATCTTCCATTTTTTTCCCACTAATAGCAAACATTTTTTGGATGGTTTCAACATTGTTTCTGGAGAACCATCAGCCACCTGACTATCTCTTGTTGAGTCATTTTTCCCTTCAAACTCACAACCTTCATCTTTGTTTTAGCAGAGATTTTACCCATGATTTCTGTGTAAAAAAGCAAGTTAATATTCAACTACAATGATTTGCCAAGGCATCTTACACTTGTGTTAATAAGATAGAACAATTCCTACTTAAGAATTTGCATATTTATTATGAATTTATCACCTCAGATCTTTTATTGGCCCAATAGTTTTACATAGCCTTTTTTCAGTTTTAAGCAGTGTATCTTCTGTTACATGGCACATATAAAAATGCAACAACTTATTTTCCAATCTTCAAGGACCGAGATTCTCTCAAACTTTCTTTCACCTCTCTTCTCTAACTTTTGTGGTCTTCCGGTTTTCTTAGAACATAAAGCTCTTCCAGTAGCAGCAAACATATTTTAGATGATTTCAATACTGTTTCTGGAAATCTCCATCTCTTGTTGAATCATCATCCCGTTCAAAGTTAAAACCGTCATCTTTGTTTCAACATAAATTTTAGCTACTATTTTAGTGTAAAAGCAACGCAACGTTCAACTACAACTAGCAGTAGAGCCCGGCGTTGCCCGGAAATGTAACAGTAAGAGATAGATCAAGTATCGACCATCATAAAGACTGAAAAATAAAATTGACAAAGATTATTGTTTAAGGTTGACGGACACGCATGTCTTAAATATTTTTTTGTTTTGTTTTTTTTTTTTTTGTTTTTACGAATTGGTCAAACCCAAACTCAAACAAAAACATTGTTTTTCAATCGTTATGAGTCTACCAATTGAATAGAATTTTATTATAAACAATTGTCTTGTAAATGGAATTTTTAAAGCATTCTGAATGTAAAAATAAAGAAAAAAAAGTGTGCAAGACAATAAAAAACACTACCTGCCAAAAAAAAAAAAAGTTTTTTGAAATCGGTTGAAAAATGTAGGAAATCCGATTCCATATATAAACGAACACACACACACACACACACACACACACACACACACACACACACAAACAACCTTTTTTATAATAAGTATAACTCAATATGAGTTGTCCCCCTTTCATTCTCGCGACCGATGCCTCTTAATCGTGTTTTCAAATTGATTTCGTGCAAAGACAATTGCGTTTTTCCAATTTTTGGCGCTGTCAGAACCACCGCAAGGTAATTTTACGTAGTCCTAGGAAGTTTTGTTGAAATCGGTTGAAAAATATAGGAAATCCGATCCAATATATAAACGAACAGACACACACACACACACACACACAACCTGGGTTTTATAATAAGTATGATGACTTGCCAAAACAAGTTACACATATTTTAATAAGATGAAACAGTTCCGACTTAGAGATTTGCATATTATCTTGACTTTAAAATCTCAGTAATTTTGCCTCGCCTTTAAGGCGAAGTATCTTCTGGTACACGGCGCCTACTAAAAAGGCAATAATTTATTTTTCAATCTTCTACTAATAAAAGCTTTCTGCGAAAATCCTTTTATGTTGTTGTCCCAAAGCTTTTGCACGCCAGTATATATACATTTGATTCTGTTCATTCACGGTTGGTCTTATAAAGCGGCGATTCCTTTTCGCTGATGTTCCCTCTGACCACAGTCTGCTTTAGATATCTATAAAAAAGACATTCTAAACGTGATTACTTACTAACATCTAAATAAAACAAACTGTACTGAATATTAAGTAATTCGATTGATAACAAGAAATATACAAACATTTGTCTGAATTGATAAATGGCAGGACGCGGGAAAATAAAAATAGTATCAATAAAAAAGGACAAGTGATAGTGAGGCTGAAACTTGGAGGCACATTGAAATTTCCTGCTTAACGCTCTCACAAAACCGGACACTCATCCTTCCGAAATAATCGGATACTTCCGGGTTCTTTCCACAACCAATTCCGGTATTTGAATTCAGTGTGGTTATATTTTACAAAATCATTTCAAGTGAAAAATACAGAAGCAGCAACATTGATTGTTTCAACGTTGATTGATTAGATGCGTCTATTTATCAGTCTATCACAGTCTGTTCAAATCTATTTCAGTCTCTTCAAATCGATCTATCTATCTCTCTATCTCAGTGTGTTCAAATCTATGTCAGTCTGTTCAAATCGATATATCTATCTATCACAATCTGTTCAAATCTATCTCAGTCTGATAGAATCTATCTCTGTTCAAATCTATTTCAGTCTGTTCAAATCTATCTATCTATCTATCTATCTATCTATCACAGTCTGTTCAAATCTATCTCTGTTCAAATTTGTCTTTATATCTCAATCTGTTCAAATCTATCTATCTATCTATCTATCTATCTATCTATCTATCTATCTATCTATCTATCTATCTCTGTTCAAATTTACATATCTATCTCAGTCTGTTCAAATATATCAACCTGTTCAAATATATCTATCTCAGCCTGTTCAAATCTGTCTCTGTCCAAATATATCTATCTATATATCTCAATCTGCTCAAATCTATGTATGTATGCATGTATGTATGTATGTATGTATGTATGTATGTATGTATGTATGTTTCTCAGTTTGTTCAAATTTGGCTCAGTCTGTTCAAACCTATCTATCTTAGTCTGTCCAAATATCTATATCTATTTTCAAATATAAGCCTGTTCAAATCTATCTATCTCAGTCTGTTCAAATCTATCTATATCTCTGTCTATCTATGTAAATCTGTTCAAATCTATCAATCTGTCAATCCCAGTCTATCAACATCTATTTATCTATCGCAATCTTTGAATCTCCCTCGCTTCCCACTCTCTGTTAGCATACTCCTGGACATTTACTGCAGCCTGAAAGTCTCTGGTTGTAACGATTCCTCATACTGTCGGATAAAGACTCACTCAGGCGGGATTATCTCAGTGCTACGATTTTCCCATTTTATATTCTTCTCGCATAGGTGTGTTTTGAAAATTTTATCCGGATCCAATGACAAATTGTAAGATAGTTTTCTTCTAACCCAAAAGAAACCATTATATATATATATATATATATATATATATAATGTGTGTGTGTGTGTGTGTGTGTGTGTGTGTGTGTGTGTGTGTGTGTGTGTGTGTGTGTGTGTGAATCGGTTTCACCCCATACAAAGCAGAAAAGGCAGAAAAGGTTACTGGGTGTGGAAAAATTAGGAACAGAAACATTAATAAAGAGCGGGAAGAGAAAAGATTGATCAGGAAGACAGTAGATAGCGATTGACATTTAAATTTTTGCAAATTAAATTTGGCTAGGAAGCATGGAGCCAGAAGGGAGTTTCACGGCGAGACTTGTGAGAAAAGAAACTTTTAGCATAGAATTTGTGGTGACATTTAACCAGCTCAGCTGTAAATTGATGAGATCTTAACGCCAGTCTAGTACTGCGCTTATATTAAAAAGTTTAGATACCATAACGTAGAGGTCATCCGAACAATTACTATGAATACATTTATAGAAGAGAGAGAGAGGCAACCTTACGGCTGTGAGATGCCAGATCAGGACCAATAATATTGCTGATTCTTCTTTGGATCTAATCAAGGAGCTCAAGGTAAACAGCAGGGGCACCGGATCATATGTGGCAGCAGTATTCTAAACATGGACGAATGGTAGACTAATAGATATATAAGATATAAGCAAGAAAGAAGGGAAGAAATTGTAGTAAACTTATCAACTAATGGGAACATAACATTGGAAATAGTTGAACAGATAAAACATGAAAATTCTAAACAATGCTAAGTTAAAATAGAATAAAAATGTCGTAAAAATGATTTGAGAAAACTTAAAACAGTAACAAGAAAAGTTGATTGGCCTGCAAGAAAATGGAAGAAATGATGCAGAATATTAAGAACATTAGCGAACGATATTAAGCAGGCAAATCACCATCTTTAATATTTTGTACTTTAACATTTTGTGCTTTGACATTTTGTACTTTAATATTTTGTACTTTGACATTTTATACATTCTGTAATAATAAAGATCACTTTCCGCAAAAACACATTCTTTTTTTAACTTGAGAAGAAAATAATTTCAGGTGAAATTTTTCGCTGGTATTTTAAAGTATTTTTTTTTATGACCTTTGTTCGGCATCTCTCTGCTTAAGATCCTATCAAGCGACCATACATCACGAACGAAAATGCAAAAACTTGTTTTCTGAAAAAAAGCATACCGCTAATCACTCCCGGTAAAATTAACATAATTAAGAAAAGTTTTAATAAAGTTTTCATAAAAATCCGTTTAAAGGTGACAAATCAATAATTTTGTCTCGATTTCCTGCATATCTACTGTATACATGTATACAAAACGTACTGTCTGTCTATATTTACATTGTTCGGACTGTTGTCCTCATCTTTATTGTCATATTCACGACTTTTCGGCCGTTGTATGCTCCGGCCTTCTTCAAGATATGTCTATATTTCTGAGATGGGGTGTTGTAACTATTTACACTATTTATATTGTTCGAACTGTTGTCCTTATCTTTTTTATTGAGAGCCTGAATATTCCGCTGAAGCATAAAAGAATGAAACTGAAACAGAATTCTGTCTTCGGTTCAATAAGCATAAAACAACCCTCAGGGAAAACAACAAATGCCTGTCGCTGCACATTCAACCAACCATTTCATATCGTCGATGATATCAGATGAATGCTGTTAGCGTCTTCATTCAACAGCACACAAAATTGACGCAGATCGGAGTTGAAATTTATTTTCAAAATGAATTCAAACATTGAGGGATTAAACAGGGGTTTGAATTTACTCAGAGAGTATAACTTCCACAGTGAGGCCTCTAACAAACAACATTCCTCGGAAAATTAAGTCCCACTTCTTTATTTATTCCTAGTATCGTTGAAAAAGAACACAGTCGTGTTCGAAAATTCCGACTTTAAAATCTATCTCTTCGTGCTTCAATTCAATCAAAGGGTTATAATAAATATCAATTTTATTGACACTATTGGCATCATTTTGTTGGCTTTTATTCTTCAATTTGTGTGAACCGTCCTATTAAATCTACATATTATAAGAACTACGCGTGGTGCGCCTTTCGTTTTAATCGCGTATTTTGGATCTTACTTTAACACATCTCAATTATGTGCGAGAAGACAGCAGGAAACTAACTTGAAAAAACTTGCACAAAAAGATCGGATATTCTCTTCCTAACCACATGTAAAAAATTGGTAATTGTCCGAAAAGGACTGAAATTAAAGAACAGTTTCCAATACTCCACAAACACTTCACACAGATCCAAGGTTCAACAAATCTACAACTCCGCTTCTTCCCAGCTACGTAACCTTGCTCTTAAAGCGGTCTATTCTAAACAACATAATCTTTTCAAATTATGTTATAGCAAAAGTTCTGCACAGTTCACTAGACTTCAACCACGGATTGTAGTGTTTTTACCCTCCAAATCAAATACAACAAACATCTATACAGATGCCGAACACGCAAGAAAAATAAGTAACTTAATTAAAAATAACCAGTTTCTAAAACCTCTCAGCAACAACGCAGAAATCCATCTATTCTAGCAAACTACTTAGACTTCATCATCGGCATATCCAATCCAATATCCATAAGGCTCTACAAACCAACGTCGTCAACCTATCCAACTACAAACTATCAACAGAAGAACAATCAGAACGATGTCCATAGGACTGTCTTTTTGTCCGTCCAAAAACCTGGATCCCGTAGATTTGTGTTACTGTTTTCTCCGTAACATTAAATTAAAGAAATCCTTCTATACAAACATCAACGATCCCGAACCTTCTACCACCAATGACAAAGCACACACTAAACGTCAAATGTCCACAAACAGGAGTTCACCAAACACAGGAAATCACCGTATCGATTTGTATATTAGAAGTGCCAGGAAACACTTGGACAAATTTATAAAAAGCAACTTCCATGAAAATAGCAACAACAAGACAGGAACGAAAAGCCATAAAATCTCACCAAACGAAAGCAAAGGCTGAGGAAGGTGGTTTAATCACCATTATGGAAAGAAGAAAATACATCTTTGAAGCAGAAAATCAATTCAAAGATCAAAATTTTTACGAAAAACTAACACATGTCCCCACTAAACATTTCATATTAGAATTCCACACTCCAATTAGCCATTTAAACCAAAGTATAGTTATGTCTTTAGTCACGGAAAAGCCTAAACCGGGTACATTCTTGTTATAGTGGAACACACCTATTCTATTGTTAATAGACTCTCCCACCTATAATAAGTAGGAGTAGTAGCAGTCGCCAGTCGGTCAGTGAGTTGGTCAGTCAGTCGATGTCGGACATTAAAGTATCAGCCACCACAACTAGATTGCTGCGTCATTAACAGTTATATCAAGTTCCTAACGTTTTGTACGTCAAACCTTTTTAGGACCGACTTAGTGAAAGACAAGCCCCCACTGTGAAACTACTCTATAACAACTTTGGCGACGAGGGATTCGTACTCATACGGAGAAAAAAAAACTTTTCGTTCACTCTACAACACTTGACGACGTGGATTCGTACTCATACGGAAGAAAAAAAAATTCGTTCGCCATATACAACACTTAGCGACGAACGTATTCGGATTCATACGGAGGAAGAAAAATTTTCGTTCACGATACAACACTTGACGACGAGGATTCGAACTCATACGGTGAAAGAAAAGAGAAAAAAAATTCACCCGCCATAACTAACTTGGCGTACGAGGGATTCGGATTCATACGATGAAAGAAAAAAAACATTCGCTCGCAACATTATTGACGTACTCATACGGAGGAAAAAGGAAAAAAAAACTTGCTCGTCACAATTTTCGGCGACAACATCTCGGATTCACATTTTAAAAAAAAAATTGGCAAAGTTTTCAAAAGACAAGATCTGTCGTATTCTCAACTGAGAAAAGAATTTTTTTTCTCGATAAGACAGTTTGCTCAAATAAGTCACGAATTGCAAATTCGTTTTGGACCCTCCTCTACAATATTTAAGCATTGTGTAAACTTTTTGTGAAGATGGAGGAATGCAAAAATATATTCCAGGAAATTTTAAGTTCCAGACGGAACAACAAATGACAATATTAGAGCAACAGAAAACATTCCAGATGCAACTACAGGAGGAAAATTTTAATAGACATATGCAGTTTCAACACGAAATGGAACAGATGCATAAGGAGTTTCAAAACAAAATTCTGGAAATAACTGAAAAGAGGAAAGAGAAAAATCTACAAAATTATTTTTTCCCAGAGAATACAATATGGAATTCAATTGAAATATTCACGTACAGTCCAGATGAAGAGATAACTTTTGAAGAGTATTATAAAAAATATACGGACGTGTATAACGAGGACTGTCATTCGTGGTCTGAAGGAAAGAAGGTTAGACTTCTTTTAAGCAAGTTAGGAACTGTTGAGCATAACAAATTGGTAAACTACATTTTACCGAAAAAAAACTAGCGAGTTGACTTTTTACCGAGGCGGTAAATATATTAAGTGAATTATTTAGTAAAAAGACATCTTTGTTTCACAAGAGGTGGAAATGTTTAAAATTGATGAAAGAGAACGAACAAGACTATATAACGTACGCAGCCAATGTGAATAAGCATTGTGAAGAATTCAAACTAGCAGAATTAAGAGCTTTTTAAGTGCTTAATGTTTGTTCAAGGTCTAGTATCAGAAAAAGACGCAGAATTGAAAAATTAGTGCTTAAAATTGGTGTTTGGCAGA